TTTTATTTTGAGACGATGTAACCGCTGATAACCCTGAGAGTGATGAGAATAAGTTTAAAGTTCCAAACCTGTCAGTGTGGGATCTCGTTCTTTCAGTCACTACCCAAAGTTCGTGACCATACACGAGGGTGGGAACGTAGATCGACCGATAAATCGAGAGCTTCGCCTTTAGGCTCAGCTCTCTCTTCATCACGACAGACCGGTACAGCGCCCGCATTACTGCAGACGCCGCACCGATCCGCCTATCGATCTCACGCTCCCTACCCCCGTTCGCGAGCAGGACCCCGAGATACTTGAACTCCTCCACTTGGGGAAGGACATCCGCCCTGTCCCGGGGAAGGCACTCTACCCTTTTCAGGTGAGAGACCATGGTCTCGGACTTGGAGGAACTGATCCTCATCCCAGCCGATTCGCACTCGGCTGCCAACCGGTCCAGCGAGAGCTGTAGGTCCCGACTTGATGGAGCCAACAGGACCACATCATCTGCAAAAAGCAGAGATGCGACCCTAAGGCCACCAAGACTGACACCCTCAACACCTCGGCTCGCCTAGAAATCCTGTCCATAAAAGTTATGAACAGGACCGGAGACAAAGGGCAATTCCCACCGGAAACCTGGGACCTTTCAAGAAAAAAGATGATTGCAAGAGATGAGACAATCAAAATCATCTCCATTGCATAGATACGAAAAGGGAAATGACAAACCAGGGGTCACTCAGTACAGGGAACATGAACCCTAACCCTAAACAGGACAAACTCTTACTCACTGGTTATGGAGACGATCCAGTTTCTGTCTGAGGGAGTGGTTTGCTTCATGAATCTCGAATGAGCTGCAGCTGCCAGCGATCCGCCAGCCGTTAGCACCCTCAGGAAGAGAGCAACCAAAAAGAATACAGGTAAGTGACTGTGACATTAAGGTTTGGAGGAAAAAATGTATGTCCCAAGTTGTCTGAAACAACTATGTAATTTGTGATTTCTGAACTTCAAACTCAGATGAGAACGGATCAATTAAAATTGTGACAGAACTTATTCTTTGAGAGGTTTTGCTTGTTTGCTGTTAATGTGTAGCAAAAGTTTTATGAATACATGATGCTGCTGCTGCTGCTGTTGTTTTGAAACAAATTGAACGAAAGAGGAAAATCGAAACCAAGAAAAGGACCACAGGGTGTGTCACTCATCACTTACGTGAGAGCTGTGGTATGTCGTTACTGTGTTCATCTAATTATAGATCTGCAATCCAACATTCACACAAAGCGTGAAATGTGGATCAAGTCAGTTTCTCTCTGATAACCAAACTGAGGAGCAGCTTGTTCAAATAGTAATTAACCTGTTGAGCAGGAACCTGCTAACAACTGAAGGTTATTAAAGTCCAAAAGGGACAAACTGCTTTGTTTCTCTGAAGTCATCTGACCTTAAAGTGGGAGGATCTCTGATGTCATGATGG